TCATCATGACCTAATATCTCTAGGCTCAACAGCAGCCAAGCTTGTGGTTAATTAGTATTATAGACTTCGGTATACAGCTTCGGTATTGAACTTGGGGGTTCTGTTTTATAGGACAATTATTTGTGGTCTGACGCATTCCCTTATTTGTACTATTGTTAGCAGAAGTTGCAGTAGTATTTGTACTATATAATGTGCACGGAACGCCTAAATAAACTTACAATAAAGCAACGAAAACAAATTCTATGCTATGAAGTATACTGTAATTACAGAAACAATAGTTCTGAAACTGTAACCTATTATTTTTCGCGAGTGAAGCGAGCAGCAATTTGTTTCTTTTAAAACGTAATTACATTTCGAAAGACGAGTTTTACGACATCAATTTTCTTCATTCAATAATAATGGTAAGCGGGGAAAGACAAGCTCCTCCGTAGTCTAGTGGTAAGGGCACCTGCCCGGCACTACAATTTTATATTGATTTTTTGCAAGAATGGCGCAGTCAGCTGGATTCAAAATTTTGAAGACTTTTTATCGAGCGAAGCGAGTTGTATTATGCGTCATCTAAAAAACGAATTCTTTCAGAGAACAAAATGAGTGTATCCATACAACTTCTTGCAAATAAAATTCCTTGAAATTCTTTCAGCGAGTTTGAGTTGCATGCTTTTAGAAACGAAATCTTAATTCTCGTGGGAGATTTTCTTGGAAAGCGATAGCTAGATGGATTTAGAGAATATCCCTAAATGTTAGGTGTGTCAAATTATTAAATACATGGAAGGCGCGACCTGTCAACTGCCAAATTTGGCAATGTCAAAACCTTAACCCTTCTTAATGCGAACGAAGTTCCGCACACATCCATTAGTTCTATTAATAAAAATGGATACTTTAAAATTGCCTATCCTAACAAACCCTACTAAAGCGTCAGCTGCTGCGTCTTCCACCCCAAAATATGCTAATTATATCACGTAGCGTTTCAATAGTATTGAATAAACACAATCACTAAATATTGCTTAAATATTGAACATATTTATATCGACGGTACTGAAAATCTTTCTTTGTGTTAGACCCGGTCAAAGCGCTCATCTATTTGAAGTAAATGTTGACATCGGAAAAAATAAAAGTGTTCGATCTGGTGTGCATAACGGAGGGAATCAAATAAAATGAAAAACCAGCCAAGCTATTATTTTCCTATAGTAAAGGACGCTGATAAACCAATATTTAAAGGCAAACGCCGCTGACCCAATGATCTTTATAGCGTCGATTTTCTGAGGATTATTACTAATGCGTGAGATAGAAGGTCCTATAGAACCTGTTTACCATTCACTGTTGCCGTTAAGCTTCTTACACCAATCTCAAACATATGTATGCGATAAATTGGGAGCTTAAGGGATTTTTACCATTTTGTGTTGGTTGCGTAGATGTGTATAAGTGTCTGATAAGTTGTGATTCTTTCAAAAGTGGATACTTGTACGAATGAAAAAATGAATAGGAAAGATACGAACAAAAGCCAGGAGAGGCACCATGGTGAGAGACATCTTTGTTTATTTTCATCAAAACATGTGTACACAAAGTTCGACTAAGTTGCTGCAAAGAAAATGTATCGTTATTATATATTTGGTTTAGCCAGATAAGTTTTAAGATTTGTATGTTTAGAAAACAAGAAATGTCCTATAGGGGTTTTGTCGGAGTATACGTGGTCCTCCGACTCATAACGTCTTTCGCACGTCTAAGATGTTTAGGGGAAACACAGAAAATGAATTCTAGGCCAGTATGTGTAAATAAAACAAAATTACAGCCATGCTCTACTGAGTTTCATTTCGTCAGTGCCCTAAGGCTATACCTAAGATCGATAATCCGCACCTACCACGCGATTTGCAGAAAACCGTACAAAAGTAAAATTACGAAATTCCAAGTTTCCATTTTGAACTTTCCACAAAGAAGATGGTTAATTTACATATTCCGAATGACGTAATAGCCGCTAACCGCAAAGCCACAATAGCCCTGTACGAATCTCGGCGCCCAAGGTCGCCACTTTTCGTTTAATATTTTTAACAAAACGATAAAAAGTAACGTGACTGGAATTTCTCCTCCCGCCATTTTGTTTTCATATTAGGAAGTAGATTCGGACAGCGGAAAATATATGTCGCCATTTACCTCAATTCCCAATTGATCAACTGTACCTTATTAATCAAAAAGTGACATCAGGTGTGCCGCTGCATATGTATCGCATTTGTCGAAATTACAAAACGGCAAAACCGACATAATAATTCAGAAAAGGTTGACAAGAGAAGATAACACGAGCGTCATGAATACCTAACAAAAATATTGCATTTTCATGGTTGTTCGTAAGCATTCTAGCGCAAGAGATAAATGTGTACAGATTTTACAATGTGTTGCGTTTTTAATAATTATCGCTAAATGTAAACAAGTGTTAAAATTCCCGCTTAATTTATTTATAAAGTCGCTCTTCGGATGGAGTTCGATTTAAAAAAAAATTATATACTCGCACTCGTGCGGAAATTGGCGTGGTCATCAGTCACGCATCAGTCGATGTTAACATTATTTACGAATGATATGTTCATTTTGTGTCGCAGGAGCTTTTTGTTTCTTACACTGTTACTGGTATTATCTAATTTTTTTACTTCCCGAGCATAAGCTAGGGAAGTATTGTAATCGAGTCCATCGGGCGACTGGTTGCTTTCACATTTTCTGTTCTTTTCAGTCTTCTTTTGTCTTGGTTTGGTTTTTGGACCAGCAAATTTGAACTTCTTTCTTTGTTTACATTTGCCAAATTTGGTGTCCGTGTCCGTGTCGGTGTCGGTGTCGGTGTCGATGTCGGGGTCGGTGTCTGAACTGAGTCTAAACATAGGTATGTAACGCCGCGCTATAGAAAGAGAGAGAGAGAGAGAGAGAGAGAGAGAGAGAGAGAAATAAACTATTTAATAAAATGTGTTCGTTTGACTGTTCCAACGACTAAAATAGGTACAATAATTGATGCCATTTTCACACGCTTTATTACTCATTTAAGAACTAATATTTATATCACTCATTTTAGTCACTATAGGTCACTAATAACTATATTAAATGATAGGGATATATGTAGATACTGAAGGCGATAACGCTTTGACTGAATAGTAATTTGTATTTTATATCGAGTAAGTTATAAATACTGCTATAGTATTTGTAAATATTTACTTGTTATTTTAATTGGTAAATTACACATTGTACTTTAATTTGTTTGATACAATATTATTATAATAAACAACAGTTGATAATACATGGATATTTACTTTAATTAACCCAATCATCATCATGAATCATCATTTTGTCAAAAAATACAAATGCAACATATTTCTGGTTTTTATTATTAATAAGAAAAAATTAATGACTTCGCCGTGTATATGTGTTTAATTTATATAAATTGACAACCCAGAGTTTAAACTCCATCCGTGCGTCCCTGGGTCGACGCACTCTCTTTTTTAATTCTTTTTTTAGCTTTCCAACTGATTAACATTTCCCGTCGTTTCATTTTCACAACCAAAAAAGTGTCTTTTTAGAATATCTGATAAATCTTACATCTATCCCTTTTTCGGTAGTTTTTCACTATTTTATTCACATGCGTTTTAACCCTTGATTGGTGGTAAATTTAAACGAACGCAAGAGTTGCGTCATCCGCTGGAGAATGTTCAGACAAACTTTAGATATGATTATTTAAAAAAGTGGTCGAAAATGGTTTCGAAAGAACTTCCCTCGCCCCAGAAGTACAATGAGACACATAGCCAGCGTTTTCGAAAAACTATAAAATTTTATTTTGCCCCCCCTAAATTGAAATAAACATATATAAATGTTAATGCTAAAATAAATGTAAGAAGCGTGCCACGAGTATGTTTCAAATGAGTTTTTACTTAAGAAAACTTTGAAATGACGTCATTATCATTTTTGCAAGGACACGTATATGCCAATGCCAACACAAAAATTTGCTTCAATCATTGATGGTCTTTGAAATTGTGGGGTGGAATTCCATCGGTATTAATACATATCTGCGTAAATAATAATAATAATAGCCATGTACTGTAGAACAATAACTGAATCTTAGAGTAACGGTGATATTTTTAATGATGATAGACTAAAAATGAAAATTCCTGTGAGTGTGGCGAATATAATCAATGGGAAGTAATTAATTTATGGACGATGTAGGTACACATACACGTCTCTATTACACAGCGCAACAGCATAAATCCATTAATTTATGCTGACAATGAAGAATGTTCCTGTGTAATTTAAATATATATTTTTTTGTATTGTACGTTTTCCAGTTTGTTGCGAAACGAGGTTCCTTATGCGAGACAATCTCAGTTTGGAGATAACCGTTGTATGGGAGATCTGGCAAAATTGGTGCTAACTCCTCGTTTTCCACATCTCAAACATTCAAGTCACACATTGTCGACTCAGAGGACTCATCTTTGAATAAATTTTCGCCGAAGACCATCCATATTAACTAATTTCATTAAGATACTGATCTGGAGATTTGGGTGAGCGTGTTTGGAATGAGAATCGCGTTAAATATTTCACACAGGCATTAAAAGCCGCAATCATTGCCGTAAAAGGGATCAAAAGGAAGTAAGCGTTCAAATTTGTGCGAACCTACATCCCCTATTCTTCTTCAGCTTGTGATTTATAATTCTGTTTCGTCAATTTTCAGACAAGTTGTGAGGGATTAATGAAATTTTTAGTACCTAGTTATGTATACCAAAACTAGTGGTGCTGCATCCAAAAACTAATTACGCAGACCTCGTTATTTTTACAAGCCCCGATTACAAAATACTCCTTGAATTAACACGAGCCGGGATTAAATTGCCCAAGTTTGGAAAAATTCAAGTCGCTTTATTAATTTTTAATGTCATTAAGAGTCGCGGGTTGCTGTCTTGGTAGTCCCCTCACGTTCCAAGTTGAAAACTTGAACAAAATTAAAATTTATAACTTATTAAATTATAACTGTCCTGTAGGTAACGGCATGCACAGGGAGCATGTATAGCGTGGTGGCGCACCAAAACTACAAGAAAAGTGACCGTTCGCCGCGCCCACAAAGCGAAAACTCCAATACAGAAATCCGCACCGCGGACAACCACAGAAAACTGTCTCTCTACCAGAGAATTTTCAGATATGTCAAGCGCCAATTCCAGCAGGAAAAAGGTGAGTTCTGTATTTTCGTTTGGCGTAGTTTGTGCTCCGACCAAAAGATGGCGCTGCCAGTTTGTTGGAATATGAAGTATCGATCACGTGCATTTTCAAACGTCCAATGAGCTTTAATGCATTTGTTTGAATTATTAACGTCGGAAAGTTCATTACAAATTCGTCATTATTGATGACTTGATGAGTAATATTTCCTAAAAATAAAAAAAGTGCTTTTAATTTAATTTTAATTTTAATTCGTAAGCCACTGGATATGAGTGTGATACCTATATAGTCAAAAAGTTATTAATGATTGTGTTATTTGAGTATAGGTCTAATTATGTTTTGTTCTATAAATACGAATCTGAATTTGCTTTAGACAGGTAATTAGATCTTCGCTATATAAAACTGTAATTACTAGTAGTATTATGTTCTTTGATCGAATTTGGCATGCCTATAACAGTTGAAAACTAATATGTAACGGAACGGGTTTTAAAACTGGTCTTTGTGGGAAAGATAGACGCATTAATAATACAAAGGAATACAAATTACTTCTTGTTGGTTGAGACGCCTTCGCTGATTAATAATTAATTTTCGTTTGAGACGTTGTGAATAGTTGGAAATTCTACAAATCAAATACATAAAAGCGTTTACTTTATGCAAATAATTTAATGGAATTTCAACTTCAAACGGCTTTCATGACAGAATATGAAAATATCGAAATAACTTTATGTTGTAAATAAATAAATTAAGTTACGCTTAACGAACAACAGCTTCGGGTTTTTTCCATTTCTTCTCTCATTTCCCAAGAAAATATGCAGTCGAGTTCAAAACTTTTGGTGACTTAAATTGTTCGCTGTCAACACTGTTTCATCAAATAAATGTAGTTATTTTGACAAATTTAGTTGGCTGCCATGCAAGTTATTACTGTCAAATGTTGGCACACTGTGCTCTCAAAACGGTGCTTAAAAAATTCGATTGATTTTTTTGACATGTGACTAATTAGATAAACTTAACTTGTTTACATGAATTTAAGCAGGCGCCAAACCTATCTACTACACATCTAGTACGCACGTTCAAGTCAAACGTGCGCGTGCGCATTGCTCCGTAATAGAATAACTCTACTGTATGTGACTATACGAATGAAGCAAATTAGAAACATAGTAAAAAAAAATGAAAAAGGTCAAATTTTGTTGTCTTTGTAACAGTAAAAACACTAAACTTTTAATGGCGTATTTTAGTTTGTATTTATTTTCCTGTCTCTAAACCTGCTTGGTACTTAGTGTTGGCTTATGTTCTTACAATATGTCCAAACTGGTCACAGCTGACTGCACTTTATTACAGTTTAATCGATGTTCCTCCGTCAAGCTTGGATACATCCTTAATCGCTTTCAAATTCGAATAAAAGTACTTGGGAACTATCCTGTCCTCGACTTTAAGTTTTTTGTTTCTGTTTATAATGTGTCGTAGGGGAATTACACAACATTAATGACATAGTAAATATTGTTTTATAAGAAAAAATATCCATACGACCACTTGACATCCATGTCAGGTCTAAAACTTTCCAAAACTGGTAGCAACAGGCAACATGGCGCCTATCACCTTGTAAATTAGGATTTTTGTGGCAATAATCCGCTGTCTGAGTAATTTGATCACGGAGGACATTGCATTATTCATTGGGGAAAAAGTCGAGAAAGACTATAAAAAGGGAACTAAAGTCAAAGATTGATATCTGGAGTAAGGGTCACAAATCTGTTAGTTTCTCATCGAATAAATTTTTCACAACGTAAACTAGACGTAACACGAGCAGCTATTAATCGATTGCGTATATTCGTCCGATAAAAATAAAAACGTCGATCAACAATCGATTCTATAAAGAAAATGAAAAGTTGCTATCACATTGTGCATCAATATTTCTCCGAAAGCTATAATTACTGTATAGAAACGATCAGATGCGCACTCTATTTATAAAGCACAATAACGGTGTTTTACGTTTGGGACTAGATGGAGATTGCATTGTCTTCGCTTACATCGAATTTACAATAACACTTCGATATAGTTTCTGTCAGATCACTTATCTAAGCTAACCGCTTTCTGCTTCCCTATTTCCATCGCACGGGATGATGGATGGATAAACGAATGAAAACATCCAAATGTTACTTATGGATCACAATAATCACGACAGCGAAAATAATGAAAGCATCAGCAAGGGTATAAAAATCATACAAGAAATTACTTGCAATCAATACCGTAGAAATTGGTAACGACGACAATAATGCGCGGACAAAAGCATCTAGGGGAGATCCACAAACACTGCAAAAAGTTTTCACCGTAATTTATATCTGGTTTTTATGTTTGTCTAATTTTATCGTGTTTCCGTCTGTCTGTCTGTCTGCTTTTTGACCATCTAAACACATACTCTCCGCAAATACTACAATGTCTGTTGTAATACTTTAGATATACTTGACGTCATGGACAATAATCAATCCAGTAGTTTCAAAGATCAGATAGATAATTTTTATTAGATAAATAAAAATAGACACAGACTGATGGAAGCGGGAGACCCACTTTTTCGTATTTTAGTTGCCAGGAAACATGAAAGTAGCCATTCGTTGGATGGATGAAGTATTACAACATACAATATCTCCATAGCTTACGCTCGGGAAGTAAAAATTAAATAATATAATTTTTTTATTGATTAAGTCAAAAATGGAATATATCGTCCCTCAATTTTAAAACTGGAGGTGATTGACTGAAGCTATTTTTGATAATTTGGCATATTTAAAAAATTGGTTGAAAGTTGTTTCGACAGAACTCTTGAGGTACAATGAAACATATCCAGCATTTTTGAAAAGTAATAAAATTTGATTTCGCAATTCAAGTATAGACTCATCATACTTTGCGCATTTAAGATAGGATATTTTCAGCAATTCAAAAATTTACCATGCTTACGTTAACTGTAAAGTAAACCATCTGCAAGATTTCAAAGCTTTGGTTTTGCAAATTCCATATTAAAATGCAAAATGTTTCATAAATTTGATATTTTTTCCAAAAATTTTGACGTTTATAGTAAAAACTCAATTCGGTGTCGTAAACTATATTGTGTAGGACCATGTTATTTTGTACAATTTAAAACCCATTTACTACGTGCAAGTTTGAAGTGACGTCATCAGATTATTGGTGGGGATGATTAGACAGACGCACAAACGGATAGACGGACAGACGGGCAGATGGACAGACAGATAGACAGACGGAAACCGGAAACCGATTTTTTTCGCTTACGCTCGGGAAGTAAAAAGTTAAATTCGTAAAATTAAATTTTATAGTTTTTCTAAAAAGTAGGATGTGTTTGTATCAGTACAATTTACTCCACCTACGAAGTGAATGTATTTTTTAGGTTTAGATTCGTTAGGTATGCGTCAATAGCGAAAACTTTACTGGCGAGGAACGATCAATACCATACTTTGAATACGAAAATAATTGTTAAAATATATAATACGTGACAGTCACGTTCCAGTCGCCATTACCTTGTCGCCTACAAAAAAATTCCCACATATCAAACCGACAGAACAGAGGTTTTGTTAAAAAAATAGACGAAAAATCGTAGTGTGTTATAGGAATATATATTCTTATGAAGTTATAACGGAAATTTCTATTTATTTATTATGATATTACAGGACTCCAACTGTGAATACGAGCGCAGGAAGTGTGAAAGTTCTGTTACTTTTAGAGTCACTCGAATTCGATCTCACGATATAGATTGCGAATTAACTGCACCTCGAATAGGTTTGTAAGGTAATCGTCAGTAAAATTTCCACTCTGTTGCTAACCTGCACAAATTGTTTTTTCAAAATGATACTTGCTCTGCTGTGTCAAAAATAGTTGCGCGAAGTTAAAAGTGATAAAGCGGCGCCTCCTATGTAAACATCCACTTGACGTAAGAAAAATATAAACATCCAACCTACCTGTTTATACTGAATGAATAATAAGTAGATACCTGTTCGGAAGTGCCACATTCAAACATTTTCCTTTAAACATGCAATGCATTCAAAAAGTTAAGAAAAAATTTAGGAATAAAGTTACTTATTTTTACTCTCCGACTAAGCTAAGGACGTATTGTAATCGAGTCCATCCCTAGAGTACGGAAAAATGTCTGTCTGTCTGTTTGTCTTTCTGTCCATCTGTCCGCCGTCTGGACCGATTGTTGTCAAATTTGATGCGGCGATGATGGGTGACTTATCATCGGTGACGGCGGCCGGGCGGCGTTCACATAAAGAAGCACACCAGAGCAAAGTATGGGTTTAAATACGCGCCACTTCGGGAACGGATTATTCAGTCAACGAGTCAAGTTCAGTGAATATTGAGAGAATCCAGTCCAGTTGCGCCGGAATTATTTTGTACATAATTGGTGTGCAGTTAGTCGCGAAAACTTGATTACTAAAAAATAAATTGTTGAGTTTGAAATTTGTAAAATATTATTAACTAACTAATCTAAATGCTTTATGAATGGATTCAAATTTCTTGGAATTATTTATATAGGATGATTTAAAAATGAGATTTTTATTACACAAGTAATCTCCACTAAAACTTGTGTAATCATCTCCACCAACAATTTCATAACGTAGTTTCAAAATTTTGTACAATAAACATTGTTTAAAATTTATACATCTGCATTTGTCGTTTATCAAGCTGCTTTCAGAATTATTTTTCGAGCAACTGAAGATCTGCATACTGCGCTCGAATGCTGCTGCATGCGTGAGTTCGAATCCCGTCCTCGTTAACTTTTTTTCTAAGACATGGAAATTGTTTGAATGTTTGACTTCAGGTAAATAACTAAGGGAAGTTTTGTACATGAATAAAAAAAACTCCATTTAAAGGTTACGTCATAAAAAAGTTTTTAACAAATTTAATTTTAAGTGTCTATAATTTTAGGCTTTATAACTACGACACCTAAAAATTTGGAATATTTTGCAAAGAATTAGTTTATTTCTGATTAAGAAAATGTCTGCTGGTGAAAACTA